GTGGAACGTATCTAGCAAAGCAAGGGGTAAGGTGAAACAGTATGAAGGGGGATGTACTCTGATCAAATATTTAGGGCAGTGACCAGGATCCGAACCCACGAGATCGCTACCTTGAGCCCCAAGTCCGTGACGATACCGACTGAGCCACCGACTCACCTGATTCATATTAATTGGTAAGACTGTTAAACATTAATAGATTACGTGTTATGCTACCATGTAATTATATTTATAATAAAATATGCCTTCCGACACTTTCTGATACATATGCCATTATTCTACAAAAATGACGTAAACTAATAAAGACGTAACGCATATAGAGTATGAAAATGTGTAAATAAAAAATATTTAAATGGTAGTGAATTGTAAGTCACAACTGACAGGTGAAATTACCAAACTGTAATCTAAATTTTGGCGTTGAATATTATTAACGGATTTTCTCAAAGAACTTTCTGCGTCAGGTCATTCAGGATCAAACGGTCATATTCATTGTAAGAATTGTTATTATTATTATTATTATTATTATTATTATTATTATTGTACAAGTTGTACTTAAAATTGCGTATTCTTTCAAAAACTTAAAATTAATATTAGTTTATCACAAGTAGTTTTATTTTGTGTTCAAGACAATTAAAAAAATAAAAATATATAATAGCTTACTAATACCAATTACGTCTCCAGAATATAAAGCATGTATTTGTATTAGCTATGTCCACATTTAATAAACAAATGTTGGTTAATTTGTCAAATTTATTTTTTTAACGTTGTAAAGCTTACAATTCTTATTAGCAAACACAACAGAAGGAATGACGGACAAAATCAATTAAGAAAACATTTGGTTTTCTTCCGGCTGTCTCGCTTGACAAATAACAAGACGGTCTTGCTTTGCAAGGTGATGTGTATTTTATAAATTCGAGTCTTTGCAATGCTAGCTTTAAAACTATGAACACTTTCTTACAAGCAATACACATATTAGATACATTAAGGTTTGAGGTTAATTCACTAAAAAAACAATTATGGTTGAATTTGTCTAACGTTTGAAATTTTTTTTAATCCATCTGATGAATATTTTTGGGAAAATCAATAACAATTAATTCGACTCTAAATCTTCAAATACAATACAATTTTACTAACTTAAAATGAAGTTTGTAGATTAACTGCTAAAATTTCACTATTTATGAAATAGAAAAATACTTTATCAGTTATTTATTGTTCACTTTGGCCAAAACAGTACAATGCACTATTTATAAAATACTTACCAACTTACGTCTTATTGGACTTATTCAAAATATTCTATGGTACAATTAAAAACTTTAAAAACTCTAATATTATTAAAATATTGTATATTTTTTAAACAATTCCTTATATTTTATATTGGGCATTGTTTTACTCTTATATTATTACTTTACAGTATGCTTAGCAAGGGATTTTTATGGCGTTTTTAAAGGAACAACAAACGTACGTTATATTACCCAATAACTATCAAACAGAAAATATTGAGGTTCAATACCAAATTTAATACGTTTATCCAACAAAATTTAGATAACATATAATAGTGAGAAAAAAAGAAATAATAACTAGTGAAGGTTTATAGGAACAAATCTGTCATACTAATATGATATTTAAAATTACATACAGTACTGTTTGTGTAGTAAGACCATTTTGAAGCGATCGTACAATTGCATGCAGTATAAGTTGGGCATTTTAGAACAAAAGTTATTTAAGTATTACTAATTGTAGACAAACTTAATATTGATATCAAAATTGACAACGTTGCTAGTTATACAATGAATGGAGCCTAAAATAAAAAAATAAACAAAATAAGCGATAATTAGCTTTTTGATGGGCAGTATATAGAGAGTGGACATTTTGTACAGTATATTATTATTATATATTTTATATATTATTCCATATAAGGCTACCACATATAATATTTCAATAAAACGATGATACGACTTTTTCTAATTAACTCCCATATATTAACACTTAACCATGCACCATATTAGCTGATCCATAATAAAATAAAGGAAACGGTACTACCAACTTCTGACGTTTTTGTCCCTAAACAGTGATATTCTATAGGCCCCCTACTTATAATTTTGGCAACATAATACTATTACAATAATATTATGCATAACATTTTTTCTAAAATCTGAAAACACTCTATTGGTGAATATAATTTCTTTCCGGTCTTTTTACAATTATTATTTAAGTACACATAAATCGATCGCTATATCGACACTAATAAAGACAGAATCTTGTTTTGCCTCTTAACACAAAATATATTTACAAATAACAGTTTAATAAATAAAACCCCCTTTATAAAAACGCTTGATTCTTCTTCACGACAAACTGACCTTGTAAGTTCATTCATTTCCACCAAACTAGTTTCATAAATCCCGAGGGGACGCTATGCTCATCAGTTATCACAAGTTTCACTCTCCCAATAATTTTTTCACATCACTTCATCCCTTGTGTAAAAAAGAACCATTTATACACTTGTATTGTATTTCGTCTCTCTTGTATGGATAAATATTATGTAGTATGGCTGATGGTTTGGGAACGTAACTGATTTGTTTTATAAGATTTGTAATGAAAAATGCATTTTTTTTATTCATGGGGTACAACATATTAGATTAATGCTTTTGCTATTGTAAATAACATTCTGGAAGGGTGAAATATGGTGGATATTCGTTTAAGTCAAAAACATTTTCTTACCAATTCTTATCTTATACGTATGCATGGCTAGTAAGAATATATATGGTAATCGTTTTAGTTACTCAATACGATAACTAGAGTCGGAGTCCATCGCTTACTGGCTTCATAACCCAAAATATATTTAAAATATTTTAAATAGAGGTTTAAAAGGGCACATTATTATTGAAATTATTGTTTATGAATTATGGCTTATTGAAACTGTTGAATCTAGAAAATAATGTTTTATGTTTTTGAAGAGATTTGTATATGATTTGCGATGGGTATGTATTGAACACTTTGTTTAGCTAAAGTTTGAGATAAAATGATGTGTGTTAATCGCCTTAATAATAGTTTCTCGGACCTGATTGTCTGATGGAGGATCAATCTATTGAAAATCTACAAACTATTTATAAGTTTAAACCACTGTCCCTTCAAAGTTGTTGTTTCATCTTAGATGTAATTAGATTAGATAGTAAAAAATAACTACTGCTGTTGTGTTAATGTGCAAAGCAATACTGTTAATATACGGAAACTTTAACTAAAGAGTGTATTTATTATGCAAAATCTCGTAGATGCTGAATCCGTATTAACACAAGGACTAATACTGCATAATATTGAATATTATGACGTTATGCATTTTCTTTTTAAAGTTAGAATAGGGATTCATAATGATGTAACAAAATAATGCACTTATAAACTCTTAAAATTAACTTAAAATCTTAGCTTCTAGAGTTATATACATGTTTTAGAACAACGGATTTATTTTTAATTATTTTTCTCTTGTTTGGATTAACTAAGCCTCCAACTACTAAATAGTTTGTCAAATTAAACACAGGTTTCTACTTAAGTAAAGTCTGTTAATCGCATTGTACCCTTTGTTCATTTTGGAATAGACTTTCATTTTGTACTGTAATAAGTTGAATATTGCCATTTCTATTCCTTCAGTAACTTAAATATCACAGTAATAACTGCAATAATTGTAGTAATCACATGAAAACTACGTGAATTTCTTTACACTATGCTCGATATTAACTAATAAATAGAACTTCTACAATATATTGCTATACAAATTTTATTCATATTACCTTTTAAGTAAAGTTTTAGATGTATAACGTTTTATCAGGCAAACATTTAAATGAGATCTTTGGTGATATTTCATCCAAACAAAGAAACTTTAAATTTAAAGAGTTAACATGATTTAGTTAATCTATTTAAATTTGAGGAAAATGTATTATGCTGATTTATATTCCAAATAAAACATTGTACATTTTCCAGTATATTATTATTTAAGTGTTAAATAATTGATGGCAATTGCGTATTTTCAAAGCATTATTGCATTTTATATTTTAATACAAAGTCAATAAACTAATCAGAAAAACAACACAAACACCCTATTCGCTAAATATTGTGACAACTTAAAATGTAAGTATCCTTCTATAGATTTGTATTCTTAAAAATGTTTTTCAACAAACAGTGTAAGAAAATCCACGCTAGATTTGCACAAAAATTACCGATTGGTAAAATATGAGTTTTATGTTTATTAGATTTTTGACTAAGAAAGTCATTAATACGGTTGTAAAAAAAAAAAAATAAACAGAATGTAAAATTAAAAATATAAATAAGCTCTCTTATTTATTTATTTCCCAACAGTTTACACCAGTAAAAAATAATGGATACAATAATATGATAAAGATGGCTACATATGCACCAGTACAAAAGGGGTAACAGCAAGAACGTGAAACATAAATAAAATAAACAATAAATTAAGCACTGTATCAAGAATAACAATAACTTAAGGAGTTCATGGGAGTAATTATGCTTTTAAGTGTATTATATATTTATTATCAATTGAAGTGTCTTTAACAAAAGGGCACTCAATAGAAATATTACAATTAAAATACAGCAAAATGGTATTACATTTTAAAGCTGTTTCTTATCATGCTTCGCACATATCTAACTATTTAGAAATTAAGTACTTTGAGTAAATTTGTTTTGAATCCCGACACAATAACTGTCAAAAGCTTTTAAGTGAAAGTGTTTTCGTATATTTTCTCCTTAAGCGTTTAGACCTTTTGAAAATCACTCTTGATTGTTCACATTTTATCGCTAAAAATCTCCCTTTGTTTTGCTACCGTTGTACTTTAATCAAGCCGAGTCTCCCGGTACTTGTAAGTGATGAGACAGCATTGATGGTGGGTGCGGGTGTAGAGGCAGTTAGGGGGGGGGGGGGTTGGCAGCCAGGTGTCACAGGGGGGGAGAGGGTGGACGGAAAGTCAGTATCACGTCCGCTTTTGTTGGAGACGGGCCTCAGAATTGGAAGTCCTCTGTGTGAGAAGTTTCTTCGAGAGCGCTCGAATTTTTAGTGAGAGAGTGTAAAGTTTTTTTGTCCAAATTCCTCGGATCTTCCTTCCAAGTTTTGGTAAGCAACTAACTATTTAGTTATAGATTCGTATGGTTGTTGATTTTGTGACCAAGAATATTAGTTATGTAGTATAATAAATGTTTCCAAATCAATTTGGTGATTATCAAGGTACTGTTATCTAAAGAATAACCAGTATATTAATGGATATCAGAGAGTGTTTAATGTGTAAATAAAGAAAACTCCCTCAGTGAATACTTATTTCAATAGCTTTGCTTTGTTTTGTCCCAGATTCGGTTTTATAAATGGCCATTAGCTTTACCTCGAATTTCATAGGTTCCACAGGCTCAAGACGTTATTGAATCAAGTAAATAGTCTAAGAAAGCACCCGAGGCCAGGCAAGAACTTTCCGTGTACATTTAAGAATTCCTCAAAACTATTAATATAAAAAGATATACTTCGTAGCATTTCGTACATTGATTGTATATAATTTAGCAATAACATATCATGTATATGATATATCAGTGATTGTAGGTTGTGAGATGCTCACATGGAACAAATCTTCAGTCCATGTTTAATGTTCATGCTCATGCTAAATTGCATTAATTAACCTTTTGGGCTGTAAAGAGCGCTAGAGTTAAATACACGGGTAAAGGGTAAAATATAACATTTAAGATCAAAGATTAGAAAAATTAGCTTACGTGATTGGCGCTAAGACAAAATAGGGCAAACACATAATTTACTATGGTCAGGCTAAAGCTCTAGGTAAAATATATATATTTCATTCATAAATTATGCCACTGCTTATTCAGAGTTTCCATCCTCTACATTTTATATGTTGATCTAACCAACGGCTTGATAGTTAATAAACTTATAATAACTGTGGTGAAAACAAAAGTTTTGGAAATAATACTTTGTACTAGAGGACCCATGCAGCTCCGAAGCTTTAAAGGAAACATAATATCTGAGAAATAATCAAATTTATAATTTTTTATTGGGTAATACAGTATTTTGAACGTAACTGATTCAAACGATCAACAGCACAACAGCTCAAATTATAGGCTATAATTTTCTGATTATTTTGAGTCTAAAACATATAAAAAAAAAACATTAACAATACTGGAGATATTGATTTTTAATCAGGAAATAACCTATGGAAAATAATTTTTGTGTTGGTTGTTCACCTTGCGTTTGCTTGAAACCCATCCGATTTGAATAAATAATAGCCTTATGAAAGCCAGTATTTCACTGAAGGTTCTTAAACCAAAATATATAGGATTAGACAATTATAACTAGCAAAATACATCTTAAATTGAAGTAAGAATTTGAAAAAAAAAACTGTGCATGCATACCTTCAATTTGAGGCCTCAAACATAAAAATCGGTCTGGTAGAAGAGCCAAACTATCTCGGAAAAGAAAACCAAATTTTACTCCCATAAGAAATACATAGGGAGCAAATTTCATTTACGTTTAAGCCGAGTGGGATTATAGATAAATATATGCCGATGCTTGATGGCAAATATGTGCGTGTGTACCTTCAATTTGAGACCTCAATCATGAAAATCGGTCGGGTAGCAGAGCCAAACGAACTTGGAAAAGAAAGTACCACATTTTTAATATATAAGATTAGAATTTTCTCAATGGACTACTATTCACATCACATACACTATTATCAGATAGTAACCGTAAAACTTTATTGATTGGCCTAAAAGTTATTGACTTATAATATTGATGAAATAATAATATATAATTTATGTCAACCAGAATGAGACTATTAAACTTGCAGAGGTAGACTTACAGAATAACAAAGCACTCCAGGATGTATAGGATAGTAAATCTGTAATGTCATTTACATGTGTCATAACAATATTTATTGCTACGAATCTTAGTGCTCATGTAGTGTAATTTAAATTTTAAATGTGGAGTTTTGCTTCTATCAAAATCTATTTTAGACATTATTTTATGAGTGTCATCCATATACTAATTAATTTTATTTAACACTGGTAAACTAATGTATTATTATTGATATATAGAAATGCTAACAAATTTTATGATTTAGGTGTGTAGATTGATAAAAATTATATTTTGTGCGAGAAAGTGTTATTCGCAAAAAATATATGACAACCGCATTTATATTTTTTATAGCATCAAAGCTCAGTTTATTATAACTTTTCACAGATGTGTTTTCACTTGAATCCTAAAGCTAATTAGTAGTTTCACACAAAGTTCTTAGATTATGTTTAACTTTGTCAAACAAATGCCTTGACAGGTTTCAAGCCAATTAAACAATTCCACAAATAGAAAGGAAATAGTAAAATGTAGACCTCTCATCAATGGTTGTTGTGATATCGACAAATGTATGTTAAACAATATCAAATTATAAAGATGGGTTGTTCACTAGAACTGGTTGTGATTATTGGATGTGCGATATTATAAATTAATAAATCAGGTATGATTAGTTACTTGGAATTGATTAAGTTGTCTTAATTATTAACTAAAAAAGTACTCATAAAGTACTATGGGTACTTTTATAGTACCATAAAGTACTATAAATGATGTGATAAATAATCAATAGAAATTGCGTATTTTCAAAGCATTATTGAATGTTAATATTTTAATACAAAGTCAATAAACGAATCATAAAAACAACACAAACACCATATTTGCAATATTTTGTAAAACCTTAAAGTGTTAAGTATCCTTCTTCAGATTTGTGTTCTTATAAAAGTTTTTTCAACAAATAGCGTATGAAAATCCACGCTAGATTTGCTCAAAAATTACTGATAGGTAAAAAATGGATTTAATTAATTCAATACACTTTTACTATTGATGGTAAACATATAAAAAATGTTAATAAAAACCCTTTTTACTCTCTTTCACTTTGCGTGGTCTAAATATCTTAACCTTTACTATACCTCTAAGGTATGATGGTATCTTTATTTGATTATATTATTCTCGTAGCTTTGAATGAGTTGACTTTTAATTAACGCTTGCAAAAATCAAATTGTAATGAGTTAGTTTGGACATTCAGACAAAACATTTCATGGTAAATAGGTAAATAATTTAGCCGTTCCGTCTTTTCTTATACCAATGGTAAGCTAAAAACTAATTGTTTGCGAAGACAGACTAGACTAAGCTATGTAAATTAATGAGAAATAATGTAATTGCAATTATTGAAAAGATATGGAGGAAATATACACGAAATAGATATTAGCTGATATTATAAAAAGAACGAATACCAGTTTTCTCCTGTATATGAAATGTATAATGAATGAATATATGGAATTAATAAATACCACCATCACAGCGAACCTATTGGCGAATTTCATTTGCCTGATTAGATTTTTACTAAAACATTTCCCTAAACACAACATATGTATTCCCTGTTTAAAAAATTTGATTTAATGAGTACTTCTGTTGTTCTCAAATGGGTTGAAGACAAAGGTTATCTGATCAAATGGCAACAGTAAAAGATTAAATAAATAGATTTGCCAACTTTATTAAAAATATATTTATAAACAAGCGAACTACAACGGTTTTCTTATTGTCAAGACGGAGAACATGGGGATTTTTAAGGTACAGTTTTTGGAGTTTTTCTTCAATTGTACAACAAGGCTTCATTACGTACTTGAATACCAGGCAAAACAATAACATCTCACACGGTACAAACAATTAACGTAGACCTTTATTTTAACAAATCCTGCAGATTAATTTCTGTTTGTTTTAATCAAAAATAAAAATGCGATGCAAGTAACTTTATCAGATTGATATTTTATATGAATGGATGTTATAAGGTTTATTCTAGAATAGTATTAACATACAAATCTTCAAGTTATTACAGCAACGAAATGATTTCTCATTGTTATCTAAGGAATCTGACAAGGAATCATTATTGGAAAAACTTCATAACTCATCCTTTTATTGGAAATTGGGGTCTATGTGATTTGAGATAAAATGTGGTTCTAGATTTTTTTTTGCTGGTTGGAAATTGGTCGTGAAACCAAACTTAAATGCCTTAGATTAACAACTTAGAGAAACAGTGTCTCTCTGATAATACAATATAACGTATTATTTTATGCTACGTCAGACGCGTGTTTTCTTTTACTGTTTGTAGCTACAAAGAATAGTTATTTGTGCAACTAGTGAGAAAAGTGAGCAATTGACTCACTCGAGAGAAATCCTTACTCACGAGCCGTAGGCGAGTGAGGAATGGTTTCTCGAGTGAGGCAATTGTACTTTGAACTCGAGTTGCACATTATACTTTTCCTACAGTTACCATAAAACAAATAAATTGGTGAAGAAACATAACCTATTTTTACACAGAAGTGAACTTTTAATATAACATTTAATGTGAAGTGACAAATACAACAGTACAACAGCTGACCAGCTGATTTACAGCCAGTGCTGCCAACGTATTTCACGCGCATACTACGTTGCCTGCATGTTACGCGCTCACTATTTCTTGCCTTCACGTTGCAAATCTGGAGTGAGACAAAATAATTAGAGTGAGACAATGTTAACATTGTTAACATGAGCGAATTGGCCACTTTGCTTTCTCAAATCAGCGAGAGAACATGAACATTGTTAGGTAACTGTAGGAAAAATATTTTTTACTGAGGTTAGTCAATAATATTGAGTATTTATAAACTTAATTCAGGACTAGGAATTCCAATAATATTTTAGAATAGGTAAGTTTATTTATAACTATGATTAATCTGTTTATAAGTTATAACATGAGGAAAATATGATGCATACATAGTTTTTTTAGTACGTGTACTCTGGAATCTTTAGCCAATGTAGAATCAAATTATTCTAGATTTCTGGGTCCAGACATTTTGTATCAAATAAGCAACCTCATTCCCAGTAACAAACATATCACAGTTAGTAGAAATAAGTTCTACTAACCCGTAAGATTTCCAGACAAACTTAAGTTTTCAGTATTCTTAGGATGTATGAAATATACTATTCTCCTAAATAAAAATGTACAAAGCTTAATAGTATATAGTTAGGTAAAACCAGTTTCAACCAAGAGTGTTATGATTTTAAATGTTATAAAAGTA